ATGATCTTAGTGGTCTTTTCCAACCTTAACGACTCTATGATTCTAATTAAAGTCAGATGAGAGACTTTCCATTGTACAAACCTGCCTGCACTGGACTCGCACCGGCTCACTCTGACCCGTGATGGCCAGCTGGGCAACCTTCTGCAGCACGTCATCAATTTCAGGGACAATCAGCTTCCTGGATAAAATAGCCTAAAAATGTGGAAGCACAGCTAGAGTCATGTCATTTTGCTTGCACAGTGTGAGATGCATTACTATAACCTGGGACTACACTGGTCTCAGGTGGTACATTAACATTGACATTTTCACATCTTCAAACACAGCCAGAGTAACTTTGGGGAAAAAAAAAAAAAGGGTGGCTTACAAGTCCGTATCTGTTTCTTTTGGACAACATAGAATACCAGGTCTAATGATTACAGATGTCAATTGTTTAGCAAAAACATCCTCAGATCCAAATACATCCTCATATATATGTGTATAAAACAGCCTCCCAAACAATTTTAAAGAGTGACTACAAGTCAAAAGGGAAAACTTTGCTGGTTTCCTCCCCTATAATAGAGAGCCTGAACAGCATTCTGTGGCCTGTTCCTGGTGTGAGATCAAACAGCCTTTCACCAGGAGACAGAATCACTGCCGTTCCAGTGGCTCACAGAACCCATACGCCTGCTGCACAGAAATACCTTGAGAAGGCCAAAGGCAGTGGCTTGGCGTGACGAATCATAAATGTCTTCTTCAGCAAAGCCAAGCAACACTTGCAGCTGTTTGCTTGTTATCTGACTCTTCGCGTTCTTCACAAGTATTGTTACACACTACAAAATCAAATTGCACACTGTCAATACACACTGTTCTCATCACATTTTGCTTTCATCTGGCAATTTTGAGACAAAAACTGAACATAAGCAAATACACAAATTCAGACTAGTCCTTGAAATGAGTGGGGATGCTCACAGACATGAACCACGATGCAGGAACACCATCAGGAAGAGGGAAAAGTTCTGGCACTGGCATTCTGCATGAATTAATCTAACTACCTCTTACAATCATGAAGCTGTAATTAATTCAGCAATGCATTTAAAAGACATCTACAGGAAGACACTGCATGCTGTAAGTGTAGTTATTACCACTATTAATTGCTCCCTTCCCTTGTCTCACTTCAGCTGCCAGGGTTTACTGCAATGAATCAATCATGTTAAAAGCAAGCTATTCAAGTACAAAACTGACACCTCTCAAAAGACAGGGTGGTAACAAGATATTATTATAAGGAAGAAAGAAGGCAAATATGCTTCTATAAAAACACTTCTTGAGATCCAAGCTGTGCATTTTTGGGGGGGTAATTTTATGTTTGCACTCAGGAAAGAATCAGCAAGGCCACATTTCCCTCGCTACTTTGTGATCTCCAGACCACTTCTCCAGAGACAGCTGGAGGAGGGATCTGGAGTTGGAAGAGTCTCATTCTACAAAGTTAATGCTAAAGTAGAAAAGAGCAGAGCTGGGTCCGACTTACTTTAAAACAGCTCACAACCAGGTGGAAATTCTGGCCTTTGGCTACTCCTGTCTTGGCAAATTCTTTCAGCAAGAGGAAAAGCTGCTTAATCAGTGGCTCCAGATTCATACTGACAGAAGGCAAAGGGAACTTTAAAACCCACACCAAGGACTGCAGAGCACCAGTTACCACCTGTAAGAAAGAGCCAAAGGACAGCACGTGGTTTCAATGACACTGCGAGAACACTTTCCTCACTCTGTAACAGACATGGTCAGGCTATCTGCAACTGCGGTAAAAGGCAATTAGCCAACAAAATCAAGCTCTTTCAAACCATTCACATGGAATACAAAGGGTTTCTCAGTTCTAAAAACACTATCTGCCACTCCCTAACTTTGATTTTACTAGGTAATGACATTAACACAGCACTGATTAGGCAGATGGCAGGAACTCTTCTGAAGGAGACGTGCCACAAACGCAGGTCACCAGAAAGCCCTGCTCCAGGTATCTGATAGTGTTATAAGGCATGCCTTCCATTCCCAGGAAACTCAAGGTTTAACAGATTCCCAACCTAGGCTCACTCAAACTCAAAGCTGCCCAAAAAGGAGGCTGCCTATGGTGCTGGGAATAAAGACACTAGAGTTATATCAAAAGAAACCACAGTTGTGACAACACTGCTTACAGGACCTCATGAACCTCCTCACAGATAGGAAGTCTGCAAAGTCCTTGTATGAACATGCTCCAGGAGAATATTGTCCACATTTGAACCTGCAACACTAGGAGTAGACCATTCAGTCCTCCGTCAGCCACAATTCTTCCGCCCCCTTGGGATAACACGTCCTAAAACAACCTGCACACCTATGAAATCAGGTTTGAAAACTGGATGGCTTTCTCTTCTCTTGCAGATCAACTGCAAAATGACATTTGTGGGCAGGATCCTTCTTAGTAGAGTAGACAGAATAGACAGACTATAGCGCAGAACTGTACCTTAACATCCATAGATTTCAGGCAGTCTATAAGCAGCTGAACAAAAGGGTCTAACATTTCCAGAACATGTTCCTCAGAAGAATTTACTTTGGACCTCTTCAGACTCATGTGCAGCAGCTGGCATAGAAAACACAGGATATTCATCTCAAAGTCAGGCTGGGACTCAAATAAGTCAAGTAAGGTCCCACATTGTTTCAGGTTATAGTAGAATTTACATTGTATCTTACTCAAATATCTGCAACAGACTGAGCGCTTTTTATAGCTCTCTAAGAGCCACCATTGTAGTTACCATAGGCAAAACAAAGTTAAGGCTAATGGCTGTCTTGTTAACACAATATATCCAGAATACCTTCCTTTGAATGCTCTTAAAAATTTTGATTGCAAAGCTTTGTATCTGAGGAGATCCTTACCCGAAGTCCTGAATCAACCAAGATATATGTGTTAGTCCTGCTGCTGACACGTGCTTTCTGCCCTCCTCTTGTGGGAGTGGGCTGGAGCAGCAGGCAGCTCTCTGGTTGCAGCCGAGGATCTGGAGGAGGGGCAACTTTTTTTCTGAAAAGCAGTGTGTGGCAAAGGAGAATATTCAGATTTCAACCCTCTCTACAACAAGCTTGCTGTTGGGAGTGAAGAGAACTGGACTGCCCTCAGCTGCTACCCACACAGCAAGCAAAAGCAGGTCACAGCCAGAACACAATGAAATAAAACAAACTTGAGAGCAGCATGACAGACAGGACTCTCAGACTTGAGAACAATAGCACTATTACAGAGATAACAAATGCACATCGATTTGCATAACATCCCCACTTTTTTCTTCTCAGTGGACAGACCAACTTTGGTAGTTCCTTCAAGCAAACATACCTCCTGCCACTGCCCTTCATTTACTGATATTTAGTTCAATTTCTGATGGCTTATAAAAACTGCTCCAAAAAGTCTGCAAACAGTTGTCAGATCCTACAGCAAGTAGGCCTATGTAACACAGGAAATGCAAGACACCTAGACCCAGCTCTAAGCAGTGATACCACCAGAGGGAGAGGAAATCTGATGGTACTCCCTGACTTCTGCACCAGCACCAAAGTGATAAAGTGACAGCCTACAGTTTCTCTTGTTCCTGACCCCATGAAAATGTCCAGGACCCCAAACACCTCTTATATGGCAGTTCGTAGCTCACCTCTAAACACTGCCCCTCATCCCTTCATCCAAACACCCAAATGCATATACCAGCTTACTAGATGGTGAAAAAGCCTTGCTGAAGGCCCTGAGCACTTGCAAGAGTAGAGTCCCATGAGTTCAGCAAGTGGTCACTCCCATTTCCAAGCTTTCCTTGCCCTCTGACTGCCCAAGTAATTCACTTACATTGAAAACAAAAGGTAAATGAAAGCAAGGAAACTCTCATACATTTGATCAGTTGGGTCTGAGAGCTGCCATTTCTGCAAGCTAACCTCCCAACCAATAACAGACCATCTGGATAACATCCTGGAACTCACTTGGCCTTCTCAGTGAGCAGAGGCAAGTTCTCACTGATGAGACCATGACTGAGGAGGAGAAGCGATTCTGCATTCATGTCCGAATTGAAGATCAGCCCTGCCATGATGTGACGCAGTGCCTCATGCACCTTCCGGACTATCTTCAAGCTTGTGGTGCTCTCCAGAATCTGCAAAGGCACAACCATGAGAGTCAGGAAGGCAACATGAGGGCAACGATCTGCTACTTGTATTCAGAAACCATGCAAAAAGCCAGAACAGTTCCTCCTTCATCACACACTGACGTAAGTCCCCAGCTCTCTACATGAACGGCATCCCATTGCTGCAGCTCTGCCCCAACTTTCCTCCCTTTCTCCCCAGCCTCTTCTCAGCCTCCAGCCAGTTCACCTATCATCACCAGGAAACTCCAGAGCTCATCAGCAAACCAGGGCTCCATTTCTGCATAAGCTTGCACTCTACTCAAAAAACCACATCTCTGAAAAGGCAACTACTGCACATGGACAGACTCTGAATACATTTTGGTGACATTTCCTTCACACTCAAGAGATCAAACCACAGAGCAGCCCTGCAGCACTTTGAAGCTCCAGAGGAAACAGGAGTAGGCAGAGGGAGAGGGCATGGAGAACTCATAGTGAGATGTTTCCTCTCTCTCTAGCAAGGGTTGAAAGCTTCCCAGAATACCACTTCCTGCCCTGGACATTAATAGTAAAGTGTCATTTTATGAGCTGAGTGGATACTGCTTTCCAAAAGAAAAATGGGAAACCGAAGCAGGATTATACGGGTAATTTCACAGCAGCCATCCAAAGGCTCAAGTTTCTCTTAGACTATACAGAATTGAGTGCTCAGAGTTAACAATGACTCTGGCTGACTTTTCTTACCTCTTTCAGTGGCAGAATAAGCTTTGTCACCTGGCCCTTTCCTATGAACTTTCCAAGAATTTCATAGGAATCGTAACTCTTGTTCTTGCGTGCTTCCATGACCTTGGAGACAATTCCCTTCACCTCCTTCTCTTCAGCTATGTTCCCAAACAACTCTTGGTTGAAAATCTTTGGAAATCAGGGGAGAGAAGTGAATGAGAGGAGCAGAAAAGCAGAGCCAGATTTCTCCAGTAGCAGCAGAACAACACTACTTTCCCGCCCTTACAGAAAAAACAATTATCCAGGTTTCCCACAAATCAAGTCTACCTTTCCTTTGTCAATATAAAACACCCCAGTTTGAGCACACCAGATGAGGATCCTCTTCTCACACCCCTCTTTGGTGTTGAGACACAAGGAGTGGGACTGCAGTCAGACCAAGACATCCAAGTATACCCCATCTGGGTGGCCAGCAGAGCTCCTGGGCTCTGTGGACCACATTGAGTAGATATCTGTTACCTTGCTCAGCCATTTAGAGTACAGGGAAACATAGTTAAGATACCTTAATCTTGAACTCATTCCCTCTCAGGATGCAGGGCTCAGGATACAGCCCCAGAGATACTTTGCTACTCTACAAGGGGTCTGCTGATGCCTCAGTAGAGAAAAGTCTCCTTCCTTTGCAGTACACATGGAATCAGCCCTGTTTGCCACCAAGTCTGAGACAATCTACATAAAACCTTCTCCTCCCAGAACCTGCCCCGGGCACTTCATGATGCTTCCTTCAATCTTGAATAGCTTTTACCTCAATCAGGATATCTAAGCAGGGGTCCAAATCACCAGCACTGAGCCTGGTAGTAAGGCCCTTCAGTAACAAGTTCACAGTGAAAGTCAGCACATGGAGCTAGAGAAAAAGAGAACAGATCATGTTTCCAAACCCATGCATAGATCTCTAATAATATCAGATGGGGAGACTCCCATAGCAGATACATCACAACTCACACACTGCACTTAAGCTCCTGTTATAGGGAAAAAAAAAAAAAAAAAAAAAAAAAAAAAAAATCACTGGGAGGACAAGAATCCGTGTACAGGTAGCATGAAGAGGACTCCTGTCCCTCCTCACACTGGCAGGAAGGCTGGAATCTCCTCTTTACCCAGAGAAGAAATTTTCAGACTATCCTAAATGGCGCATTCACTGTTACAGCAGCTAGGCTATTTCACTACACCACACTATTCCACTGTGGTAATTCACGTAGAGGACAGTCTTTAACCTCAACCACCATGGAAAGAGGAAAGACGAATTAATAGTCAGAGCCTTGGCTCTGGATTTAGGAAGCAAGACTTCAATTAGCATCACCACATACTGTTTGTGCAGCCTCCATGGCAACTCACCTCGGATGATGCTGGGCTGTAATGACCTTACTGGAAAGATTTCCACTAACCTTACTGGAACCACAAATTCATCCTTCACCTCCATAACTCAGCTCTTCACTGGGAGAACTGAGATCCTCTCTTCTTCTCCGCTTAGACTCGAAGTTCTTTGCGTACAGACCCTCATTTGACACTTGGCATACCAAAGACTGATGTAGGCACTAGCAATAGCATTTAGCTGATTATATCAAGCTATTCTTGCAGTGCAAAACAATTTCAGTAGCAACCTACCTTTGGATTCTCCTCCTAACACATTAAAAAAACCTACAGAGAGCAGAAGAGGAAGAATTTCAGCATCACCTGGTACCCGTGGACAAGAGTGGACTGCATCTCTTTTAAGATGTACAGAAGGTACTGCACTCCCAACACTTCCATGATTTTAATGAGGGTGTTACGGGCAATGTCCCGAATTTCCTGAAATCTGTTCCTCAGAAATGTGCAGAC